CCTAAACAAGATTTTGACATATGGAATCTAACAATGTATAGAAAGGATAATGTCCCCTGATGAGATGGAGCTTAATACTAGGAATACAGGTTGCTTTAACATTCAAAAATCAAGGTCAAGGTGAAAACTAAAAAGAAAATCCATCAGCTCCTCTCCATAGAGGCAGAACAAGCATCTGACACAGCATTTATTTCTGATTTTTCAACAAGAAACCTCTTAGCAAACCAGGAAGAGAAGGAAATTTCTCAACCTCATTAAGGATGTCTACAAAAGCCCCCTAGGGCACACTTAATTGAGAAAGGCTGGATGTGTCCTCCTTAGGATCAGGATATCAGCATGACTTTTTGGATTTTTGCTGGGTTTGGGGGCGGTTTGCTTGTTTGTTTTTGATGCTGGGGATTAAACCCTGACACATCCCTGGAAAGTGCCCTCCCACCAACCTCACCTCCAGCAAGGTCACTCTCCACACTTCTTCTCAGTCATGCACGTGAAGTTCTAGCAAGTACGAGAAGGTAAGGAAAACAAATAAACAAGACGCCGAGACTGCAAAGGAGGGAATAAGTCTTTCTTCTTTTCACAGACAACACATTTTTAATAAAACATTCAGAGGAATCCATAAGAGTTTTACTAGAATAAGTGAGTTTCCCAAGGTTACAGGACACAGATCAATATACAAAAATCTATTGCGTTTATTGGCTAGTAATAAAAAACTTGACATAGCAACTTGAGAACCAATACCATTTATAAAAGCACCAAAATAGTAACTATTTAGGGTTAAAACTGATAAAAGATGTGCATGACCTAGACACTGGACATTAGAAAATGTTACTGAAAGAAATTAAGGAAGAATTAAACCGGAAGACAGTGAATGAGAGGGCTTAATATGTAGTGGTGCACGACTGTAATCCCAGCAGCTCAGGAGGCTGAGGGAGGAGGATCACACGTTCAAAGCTAGCCTCAGCAACTTAGGGAGGCCTTAAGCAACTCAGTGAGACCCTGTCTCAAAATAAAAAATAAAAAGGGCTGAGGATGTGGCTCAGTGGTCGAGTGCCCCTGGGTTTAATCCCTGGTACCCCAAAAAAGCCAAAAGGTGTCAAGTTTCCCAAAATTGCAACATTGATCTAAGGAATTAACACAATCTCAATCAAAATACCAGCAGAGCTGGTTTTTGTTTTGTTTTGTTTTGAAATTGACAAGCTGATGCTCCAACTCCTCTAGATAATATAAAATTCCACTCATCTAGTATAGCTGAAGCCACTTTGAAAGGAATAAAGTTGTGGGACTAAAAAATCTTCTGACTTCAAGACTTACTCTAGAGCTTTAAGGATCAGGACAGCGTGGCACTGGTGGAAAGAGAAAAACAAAGATCAGTGGGACATAATAAGGAGGTCTAGAAATAGACCTGCTTACACAGGAGCAAGTGATATTTTTATGAAGATGCAAAGTAATTCAGTGGAGAAAGAACGGTCTTCTTAACGATGGTGTGGAACAACTGGCTATCCTTATGCAACGATAATTATAAAGGAGGAGAAGAAAGAAGAACAGGAGGAGGAGGACGACGACAATGACGATGACAATTTTGGTACACAGTTCACATGGCTTAACACTCAAAATGTGCTACAGACCTAAGGGTAATACAAAATCTGCAGAACTTCTAGAGGAAAGCATAAAGAAAGATCTCTGTGGCTTAGGACCAGGCAAAGATTTCTTAGCCCAAATCATCTGACATCAAAAGATAGAAAAGCAAGCTCATAAAGTAGGCTTCATCACAATTAAAAACTTTTGTTCTTCAAATCACGATGAAAAAAACCAGTCGAACGACAGGAGATGGTATTTTGAAAATCATAATGTGATAAAGGACTTCTATCCAGAATAAAGAGGAACCTCCAACTCCATACTAAGAAAAACTGAACCGCCCAATGAAAACCCAGGCCAAAAACAAAATAAAATAAAATGAACAGATACTTCCACCAAAAAGAGATGCGGAGATGTTTATCATCCTTTGCCTTCAGGGAGATACAAGTGAAAACCACTGCGGGGGTCCACTATCCTGCCCCCCTGTTAAGACGGGGAAAATTAAAGATGCCTCAAGGAGTCAGTATCAAGGGCTGCAAGAGTCTGCAAGGTCTGGAGCAACCAGAGGCCTCGTATACTGCTGGTGGGAATGTGGAATGGTGCAGCTGGTTTGGAAAACAGTTGGCAATTTCTTAAAAAGTTAAACACAGATGTACCATATGTTCCAACCACCGCACTCCCAGGTATTTACTCAAGAGAAATAAAAGCCCATGCCCGTGCCAAGGCTGGTACAGGAAAAAAAAAAAAAAACTGTACACAGCAGTCTTATTGCACTGTCCCCAAACTGGAAACAACCTAAATGTCTATCGACAAGTAAATTGTGGTATGTCTACCTCGCAGAACACACACCTCAGTTAAAAAAAAGAAATCGATGACTGATATCTGGTGTGTGATTTTAGCATGTGCACTTTATTATATGTGAATTATGTCTCAATAAAATCATTTTAAAGGGCAGATTGTTGATTTGATTTTTTTAAGTAATATCCAACTCTATGCTGTAATCAGGCAGTTCATTCTAAACATGAGCCCACAAAGACAGAAAATAAATTCACTTTTAGACACAAGAATTGAGAGAATTTACTAACCACAGGGTAATTCCACAAAGGAGAATTTTTGAAGTGTTGTGTAGAAATGGAAAACAAGAGAATGGTAAACATGAGCTAAATCTTCACAGAGATTTTGCTTTTAAAAAACACAAAAAAATACCTAGTCTGGGAAGGGCTATTTTATTTACCCGAGTAAAAATAACATGTTTTAGGAAGAACTGATTGGAATTACAGCATTTGGAGATGATCTGATTGTTCAGTAGGAAGGCAGAGATTCTCGCTAACTTTCTGTCTTGTTTAGTTCAATATACATGTTAGACTTTCTGGGGCATTTTTGAAAAATTAAAAACAAATTTCTAAGTAACTTATTGAGCTCCTTAGGGAGCTCTAATATATTAAAACATTTAAATGTTTAGAATTGAATGGTAATAACATCTCTTCATACCAAAACTCACACAATGCAGCTACCACTGAACTTTTAGGGGAAAGCTTAGCTCTGCATGTTCACACAGAAAAAGAAGAAAAGCTCAATTTTAGTAACCTAAGCATTTAACAGCACGAACCCAAAGAAATTGTTTAAAGTTTCTTGTAAGAGGAGAACTTATTGAAAAGTAAAACATACAATAAACAGGATCAGCAAGGTCGAAATTTTCTCTTAAAAAAAAAAAAACTAATAAAGTAGAGGACTCTCTAGTCAGACTAATAAAAAAGAGAACGAGAGAGAGAGAGAGAGAGAGAGAGAAGCACACACACATAAAAAATAACAAAATTAAGAAGGAAAAGAGAAATAAAAAAGTTGCTATAGATATTAAACAGACAATATGAAAAAATTACGACAAATTTTGCAATTTATAAGAAAACTTAGACAAACCCCAAATTTCAATAACTTCACTTTGGAAAATCAAGACTGTGTTCCTGGACGGAGGGGAGGGTGTGGAGGAGGACTCTGCTCCAGGAGGTCTCTGGGGGACTCAGCATGCTGCCCAGGTGACCCCAGGGATCCACCTCCATGCAGCCAGTAGAAGAGAACTATGATGGACCCGCCCAGGAGGGCTAACGTCACTGTGCCCAGGTCCCACTGACCAGAACTCAGGTGCACCGCCATGCTCATGGCAGAGGAGGCTGGGACCTGTGCCTCAGTCAAAGCACATCACGGAGATGCCTGTAAAACACACGTCCACGGACACCTCACAGGTCCCAGGACTGGACCTCTTGGCGCCTCCCCCATCAAACGCCCTCCTCTCCTCAGTGGCCAATCTCCCAGCTCCCTGATGAGCTCTTCTGGTTTTCTATGTAGTTTTTTTTTTTTTTAACCTATGTACTCATTTCTGGGCTTTTCATTTTTAAAAAATTAAGGTGCTTTATGTTTAAAAAACACTCTTCATTGGAGCCTTGGGAGTCCTTCCATTTGGAAGCAAACTAACAGGGGATCATGGCAGTCACTGCCACTGAAGGGGCCCTGGTGAGCTGGGCTTCTGGAAGTCTTCGGCAGGGAGCAGCTGCCTCCATCCTCACCCCCTGAGGGAGGTGCTTCCCTCTCCAGGTTTTTCCAAAGGAGAAACTTGAACTTGGGAATGCACGTGGCTATAATGGCAGGACTGGGAATTGGGTCCCAGAACTCAGTCCAAACGTTTTTGTTTGTGTGTTTTTGTGCTGGGGATCAAACCCAGGCCCCATGCATGCTAGGCAAGCAGTCTACCCTGGTCCTCCAACCCCAGCCCTCGGGCCAGGTTTTTAATCCGAAGATTTCCCTGGATACTATAGGCCTACTGCTGCCCAGCGTCAGTGCACAGGGCTCGTGGTGGGTTCTACCCTCACTCTAGAAAGGGACCCATGGAGTAGACCTAGCCCACTCTACAACCTTGGCCATGGTCACTGGTTCAGGGGTGATCACGGGACCCAGCCAGATTCGACGAGCTACAACAGTAACACCTTGGCAGGAACTTGAAGGCATGAGTGCTGGAACTCGTGGTGCCCTTGCCACAAGGGTAGGTTCATCCTCAAGGTAGAACCAGAGAGCTGGATCAGAGAGCTAAGAAACCAAGAACAAGAAACTGAGACCCGATGATCTTCTGGGATGCCCTGGATTTAACCATGAAGCCCCAACTTCTTTAGTTTACATAAGCCAATAATTTCTTTTTTTTTTTTAGTGGAAGCCCATTTGAGTCAGAGCTTCTGATCCTTGAATAAAAATACTCCAAACTTTTACACAGATTAAACACTGTCCACAAACGCATGAGAAAATTCGTTGCAGATCCTTCCATCCTTAGATCTTCCAATTAGAGATCAGAAATGCACCTTCCCTAGCCATGGAGTAAGAGCCTTCTTCCTACTTCCTCTCCCTGCAGAAGAGGTAAGGGAGAAGCGCCCCCCTCTGAGTGTGGACCACTGCGCATCTGATCCCAGGAGACTGGGGTGGGAGGGGGGATCCTCAGTCAAAGTGATAACAAAACTAAGATCATTCTGAACTAAGATTACAAACAATCAAATGTAGATGTAGCAGAATCCCAACTATAAAGTGAAACACTTCTGTTCTTTCACTTAAAATTGTTTGAATGATCTCTTCCAGCTACCCAAATCAGAATACAGAAACCTCACCCTTCTTCCTTTGAATCTGCACCTGGTTTTCTCCCCTGCAGTTAGGAAGGATGACATTCCCACTTCCGGTTGCTGGTGGCCCAGGTCTCTGCCACTGGTCCCACCCTGCCGTCCTTCCTACCCAGGTCCTCCAGCCATTCGTGCCCAGGGACTCCCAGGGGCTCCCTGTGCCAGGCCCCTGGCCAGCTCCTGGGGTGAGCCTCAGCCAGGGTCCAGCCCCAGGGAGAGGCCCCTCAGCAGTGACAGAATCCAGGTCCCAGGACCAGCAGAGCAGACAGCAGAGGGTGAGGGAAGTAATGAGAAGTCTGTTGTTCTCAGTTTCATTAAAATTAACTGAAATTTAATTCAAATACCATAAAATTCACCCTTTTAAGTGTATAATTCAATGTTGGGTTTTTTTGTTTGTTCGTTTTTTTACTATATTCACAAGATTGCACAACCGCCACCACCACACAACCCCAGGACATTTTCACCACTCCCGAAGCAGCCCCGCACTTACCAGCAGGTCAGTGGAAATGGAGAAAATGCCGCACCAGGCTCCCGGTGTTGGGGTTCCCCCTTTCCCTAGAGGGGAGAGCAATGTTCTTCCTTCCCTCACATCAGAGAGGCCTCGATGGAGACAGCGCAAACCACCAATTGCAAGCACACAAGGCCCAAATGGTCAGAAAGCACCAAGAAAACTACACATGGATGACAAAATCCAGCTGGGAGTCCCTGGAGAGTGCTTCCCTCCTTTGACAAGCAAGGGCTTCAACCTGGCATGCATTCTTTGTTCCTCTGTGAAGAAGGGCATTGCCCAGGGTCAGAACTTTAAGGAGGTGCCACTCACCCAGCCAGGGCAAGGTACGGGGCAGGTTGGCTGACTTTCGCTCCAGATCCTAGAAACCCTGACCTTGGACCACTCAAGGCTCGGACTTCCTGTCCATCTTCTATAGCTTGGGCTTCCTGTCTGCCTGCTGTATGAGTTCCCCAAAAGTTCATTTGTCAGGAACTTAATCCCCAAATTCACACGTTAATGGTGTATGGAGGTGAGCCCTGAGGAGGTCATATGGATTAGATGAGTTCATAAGGGTGGGATGTTAGTGGCCTTTAAGATCAGAAGACCTGAGCTAGCATACCTACTCTGTCTCCTACACACTGCGCTCTGCCATGTGGGAATGTGGACTGAAGTCCCCACCAGATGCCGAGCAGATGTCTGATCCATGCTCTTGGATTTCCAGCCTCCAGAACTGTGAGCCAAATAAACTTCCATACTTTATAAATTACCTGGCCTCAGGTATTTCCTTGTAACAACCGAGAGCAAACTAAGACACCATCTATCACTTGAGGATTAGAATGGGTTTTAATTTTAGTTGAAAAATGAAGGCAAACCCCAGGTTTATGAACTCAATCATAATGATTACTCCAGGGAAATTGAATTGCATCACTTGTGCTCCATAATATAAAACCTAAGTGTAATGATGGGTAGGTAGATTCTTGGATGCAAAGAAGTGATTGCATGGAGCAATGTCATTAGCAGAGAAAGAGTCTATAGCTTCGCAGCAAAATCTGCCTTCATTACAGTGACTCAGCTTTACAAATTCAATTGAAGTTTTTCTTTTTTCCCTGTACAGCTAATTTTCCTTTTCTTTGACCACATTCCTTCATTCCACCAACATTCACTGAGTGCCTCCTCTGATGGCTGGGCCATGGGCAACCCTTTTTGTTCTTGGAGAGGTCAGTTTATAGGAGCAGAGAGAGTTAGAAACAGATCTTCACGGTCCAGTTCTGTGACAGACTCCTGGAAAAGAGTGGATGACACAAAGCACCCACTTTGAAATTCCCACAGCACTATTGATGGCAATAGAAACCTCAAAAGCATCTAAATGCCCTAAAATAAGGAAAATGGCTGGGGTCATATCATGTAAAGGGGTAATGTTGATTAATACAATTGTATAGAAAAGGACATTCTGTCTGTAAAGAAGGAAAAGATTTCATTACCCCCTCAAGTGCACGTGTGTGCGTGCACACACACACACACACACACACACATGATCTTTTTACAAGCGTGATTACAAGTGATTCTAAGTAGAAGTCTAAGACTGACAGCCAAGGGATCAGCTCAGGCAGACATATTATATTTTTCCCATAATGTTATATTTTGCCCTTAGAGTATTTTAAATTTGGTTTTCTCTTCATTTTTTCCCCCTCAGTACTGGAATTGAACCTTGAGCTACATCCCTATTTTTTGTTTTGTTTTGTTTTGTTTTTGTTTTGGGAGACAGGGTCTCACTAAGCTTCCCAGGATGGCCTCAAACTTGCAATCCTCCTGCCTCAGCTTTCCAACTATCTGGCTCACAGACACACACCACTGTGCTTGGCTTATCCACGTTTTTAAATGAAAGATTTCAGACTTTTCAGAAAACAAAATGATTTTCTGGCTTTTTTTGAAGCATGAGAAGAAGGGACCCCAGTGATGCATGGCAGGCTCCCCCTTGGGGTGGGTCATGTGCTAGCCAGTGCCACCGTCCTCACCCATTGGCATCCTGTGGCAAAGGCTGTGGTCACCACTGCTTGTCCAGCAACTGACAGACTCAGCTTTCTGAGCACTTCATGTATTTGAAACTGAGCTCCTTAGAGAAGACAGAATTGTCCCTGAGAATGGACATCTAATGAAGGGACATTCTGTGTGGGAGGTTGGGGACGGGGGAGGGGGGAAGAGAGAGATCCAGCTGTCAGCCTCTGAAAGAATGATCAGAAAAAGAACCATGTCCAGAAACCCTGGGGGGCAAGCCGTGGTGAGAGGGTGACACCCCACCAGCCTGGATGGTGCTCAGCACACAGCAGGTCAAAGCCACCCTGTGTCTTGGAGGCTGCCGCAGCGTTATTTCTGGGTAGATTGGACGCGGTGAGGATGGCTTGTGGCAGGAAAGGAGGATGGGCCCTGGAAGAGACCAACATCTGTGGGTTAGGAAGACAACTTTCTAAAATCCTGGTGATTTTAGAATCTACAAGGACAGAGTCTGAGAAGAAGTTCCTGCCAAAGAGACCAGGAAGGTCATCATGGGGGATTTGCCACCTGGACAGCGGGATTTTCCTTCCCTTCTCACATAATAATCCCCGTCGGCCACTCATACTGGGCATGCCACCACCGTGGCCCATTATGGAGGGAGCATGGGACCCTGATACCAAAAACTGTGAGGTTTGAGCACCTCAGATGGGAGGTCACAGCCCAGAGATCCAGAATGGGGCAACACAGTATATGCTGGGTCCTCTGAGGAACAGAGACCTGCTTGAAGAAGAGGAGTCGAGAGGAGCGGTCAGACTGTCAGCTCTGGAGCAGAAAGGAGCACGCTTCCACACAAACTTGAGGCTGGCACTGTTGGTGCCAGTCCTTAACCACGGCCTCCTCTTCCAGACTACATTTCCCAGACTGCCTTGCAGCTGGTTATAGCATGTGACTGAGTTTGACCAATGAGATGTGGGCAACTGTGATAGCCAGACCTTGCCCCATAACACTTCCTTGTCAGTCTTCCCAATTTCCCTTGTGTCTGCTAGCCAAGGCCAGGGGGCACAGTTAAGCAATTTGTCCCTGCCCTGTGAGTCCCAATCCTAGAGAGGGAAATATAGGAGTTGGGTATTGTAGACACTACCCATTGGCCAGCTACGGGTTGCTTGAAATTACTGGCAACTGTTCTGCCCAAACTTGGCCGCCTGTTTCACAATACACAGCGAGTCATGGGCCGTGTGTGGTCACCTTCAGCCTCCCCTTGGTTTCCAACAGGCTCCGGTTAACCACGATGATCCCACTTCCGTTTCTTGCCTCCTCTTGGTGTGCATACCCAGAACGCTGAGTGCCGTTGGAACAAACGGAAAGTGAAGTGCAAGACCATGAGCAGAGGTCACGGGAACACCCGGGATTCATATTTACCCAAATGTATGGGGCGCGAGTGGCTCGGCAATCATGCTGTCAGTTTCCCTCACAGCATATGTCAGAACAGCTTCCTGTTAATTCACGTTTAGACTTTGGGTTTCAGTGTGTTTGAATACAAGTATCCAGGGACAAATTCTTCGATTGACTACATCAGAAACAAATTGTTCCATGAACCCAGCAGAAGAGCCAGTGGGAGACTCCAGGGCCTTCGGACGTTCCAAGTTCCTGAATGGCTGTGTGGACAGAGCCTCCCCTCCCCAGTGACCTGCGCTGGACTGTGACATGAGCTAGAAATAATCCTCCACTGGATCAAGTCCCTGAGGTATGCCGGTGACTGTTGTAGTCACCGCCCCGTTAGAGGGAGATGACCCTTCAGAGGGAGGCTCAGAGACTGGGGTTGTATCCAGCTTCCATGTTATTTCCTCGGCTGTAAAAGGGAGATAAACAGCAGGGACAGTGCCCCAAACCAGGCCTCATCTGGGTCCCCCTCCCTCACCCACACCCAGGAGGGCCAAGCCCCTGGTGCTCCAAGGACATGTGAACTCCACAGAAACCTAAGTACCTGGCCCTACGGGTGCCAAGGAGGGGCTAGACTGTTGCACCCAGCTGTAGGGCCCACCAGTGGCCCCCGAGCCACCTGGATCCTGACCAGGTCCCTGTTCTTCAGTGGGGAAGGAGGAGCAGCAGGACCAGGACAGGAGCCAGTCCATCTGAGAGACCAGGAGGAGGCTAAAAGGGATGGCGGAGGACGTGACTCATGCAGTCCCAGGAGGGGATGTTCAGGAAACAGACCCACCCTCCTGCTGCTGGCAAAGACGTCGATCCCAATCCCACTCCCACTCCAAGCCCCATTCAGGAGAGAGAAAAATGAGCAGGGGGAACAGGGGTCACTGGAAGGTGAATTGAAACTATAAATGTCCCTTGGAGGAGGATTAGGTGGGCAACCAGCCCTCAGGGATAAGGAAGGGTGCGTCCTGGGGTGAAGGGGACGTGAACAGGCACGGGGGTCTTGGAGCAGTTGGAGAGGTCCTTCAGGAGTGTGGGTGATTGACAGCTTAGCAGATGCCAGTCCCTCCCCACATGACCTTGGCACTCACCCTTCCTGTACCCAGTGACCCAGAGGGGACAGCCTGGAAGTTCCTACCATCTGCCGGAAGGCTTGCTTGCTGCAAACAGGATGGGTCAGAAGTGAGGGGGTTGGCATTGGTGCAGGGCCCTCAGCCAGGCTCTGGGGACTCTGTGGCTAACACCCTTGTTGCCCTCCCCCAGCAGGCTGGCTGGAAGGCAGAGCCAGCAGGACTGAGCCTGGGTGGCCCACCCTGGTAGCTGCTCCCAGGACTGACATCCTGCCCTCCGTCTCCCAGCCCCATCTCCCTGGCCAGCACTTCCTGCCCTCACCTTCCAAACAAATGACCTGTACACACACCCTCATTCCAGCCTCTCCTGTCGGGGAGCCAGAGTGCGACAAGAGGGGAGAGAAGGTTTCAAGGGGAGATCTGCAAGGACAGAGGGTGGCCTTTGCTGAAACCAAGACGGGGCTGCAGGGCGGCTGTGACCAGCGTGGGCCTGGCCCCTCTTGACTCTCAGCCACTTCAGTCTGCTGCTCTTCAGGATGGGGACCATGCCCAACATGGGTGAGTCCCTCTGTTCAGACCCCAGGACTCCATGTCCCAGAGAGGCTGGGGACAGAGCAAGTACCACTTCCCCTTCCAACTTCAAGAGCTGGTTGGGGGGTCTTGGCAGAGTCAAGAGTCCTGGTCCTCCCAGCTTTCCAGAGCTTCAGGTCTGGGTGAGGGGCCTCTGAAATGGGGTGTGTGAGGAGTCCCCATCAGAGGGGTTCAGGACTCTGGAGGGAGCCTGGACCTGGCCCTCAGCCAGGGACTGTCCAAGAACATCCACCTCTAGCCGCAGGAGACTGCCGAGGCCGTCTCTGCCTGTCTGCTTTCTCAGGTTCCTTGAATTCAGGACAGGAGTGAATATCAGCTGTACTGCCAGGGCCCCTGAGTGTCCCTAGGGATGTGGCAGAGATCATGACAGGCACGATCCTCACCTCAGGGACCTTCAGTCTCCAGCAGAAGCACACTGCAATTAAGAAAGCAAACCAAATAACTGCGAATTGAGGAAAAGCTTGGGAAACAGGACCACATGTTAGTTGCTACAAGGGAAACCGCTTCAAAGGCTGGTCAGGGAGGGTCTCTCCAGTGATGTCCCCAGGGCATCTCAGCTGAGAGGTGACAAGGGATCTACTGACCAGAGAGAGGGACTTAACCAGCACACGGGGTTGCCCTGCAGGCCAGGAGGAAGGTGCTGGAATTTCCATTACATAGGAGGAAACCGAGGCTCAGAGAGAGACACCATCTGCTCAAGGTCAGCCTGCTGGCAGGAGGCAGCTCTAAGCTCTCCACTCCACAAGGCCTGCGTCTTCCCCCGAGGTCTTTGCTTGTGTCCTTCTTTAAGCAACCTTCTCCGCTCTTCCTCCTCAGATCCTGGCTGAATCCCACCACTGGGCTCAGACGTCACCTCTTCCAGGAAGCCTTCTCTGACCTACTGATCTGAATTAAGACCCTTCTGTGATTCCACAGGCTGCTTGCACACAGGAATCGCAGTGTAAACTGTTTCGTTTTGTTTCTGATAAAGTCTCCTTTCCACCCCTCTCATGATTCACAGCATCACAGCAGAGTCCACCCTGCAGGTAAATGGCTCCCGCCCCCACTGCTGTTGATTGGCCTGGAGACAGGGACTGATAGGAGCTAAGCCAATGAGAATCCTTCCCTGGGACTTTAGCATTGGAACCCAGCAAGAGAAGTCTGTCTGCACAGATGGCCAGAACGGAGACCACTATGAAGCAGGAGCCCTGTTCTGCGGGAGCACTGAGGAGCAGGGGCCACAGGCTGAGAGAAGAGTGGAAGCCCCTTCGAGGAAGGACAGAGGTGAGAGGTGATGAAGGAACACCCAGGGTCCCTGTGTCCAGCTGTGGTTCCAGCCCTTCTGCAGGACCCAACCAGCTCTTAGGCCAGGAGCACCCATGGTACCCTCATTGCTCATGACCAAAAGACCCCAACCACAAGATGCTCAGGAAACGCGTATTCAGAGATCAGTCCAAACGTGGGACGGATTCCCCACCTCGCCGGGTCTTTCCTTGACACTGGAGAAAAACAACAGCTCGGGCCAGGCCAGCGGGCAGCTCCCTGAGCCCGGGAGAGGGGGACAGCAGGACTGCCCAGCACACTGGACACATGGCCCCCCGGGTGTCAGGCCCCTCTTCCCGAGGAAGCCACCCTCACACCCCGCCACAGAAGTTCACAGGCATGAGATGTTCCCTCCCAGTGACCTGGCCAGACCCTGGGTGTGAGCAGAGGAGGCAGCCTGGCTCTGCTCGGGAGCCAGAGGTCACCAGTCAGAGCGGATGCTTTGAATTTAGACCTGGGTTTATGAGCCGCAGCGGCCGCCAGCAAGGACAGGCCCAGCCCTTCCCAGGCCAGGGGCCGCAGGAGGAAGGCTGCTTTAATGGAGGGCCTGTTTCTCCCAAATATTACGCTAGGCAGGGAATTTGGACCAAAATGAAAGCAGAAGGTCTAATTTTAGAGAGTACCTACAAATGAAACCCGACCCGGCCGGCGGAAACGCCTTCCCCTGGCTCAGGCCAGGCCGGCTGTGATTTTCTGCTAAATTAGGCAGCTCCTGCAGACAGGTTACCGCGGCCTCGGCCTTCTCCCCTTCCCTGCACTAAATGGTTGGACTCCTCTAAATCTACACTGCCCGGCCCCTCATCCCCCTTCTTTTGCCAAAGCTCCTGGTCACCCACCCCCCCACCCCGTGTTCCGGCCAGTCAGCCCCCTCCTCCTCCTCCCTCCTCCGCCCTGCCCTTCCCCAGGCAGCCCTACCGAAGGCCAGGGTGTCAGGTCGGGCTCATGGGACAGTGGAGCTGGGCACTGCTGTACCAAACCAGGTGGCAGCCAAGGGATGGGCTGTGGGCTCCAGGGAGGCAAGGCCACTCGGCTGTGTCCCAGGCTGCCCCCAAAGTGCTCAGCACCAGCTCTGGTGAGGATCCAGTGCAGCCAACACCTATGAAGCCTTAAGAGAAAGACAACCACCTCCTGGGAGCCACATCCCAGCCGGGTGAGGAAAGCAGAGGCCAACCAACCCTCTCCTACGTCCCTTCTTTGTCTAATGTGATTCGGCCACCAGCCAGGAGCAAAAGTGTGTGGCTGCCACTACCGCGGATGCTGACCCGCGACAGAGGAGGAAGGCAGCTGCCACAGACCCCAGGCCAGGCTCCTCCCCAGTGGCCCCTGTCTGCAAGGCCCTGCTGAGTCTCTGACCCTGGTCAGCCTGGATGTCCGCATCTGTACAACGGAATCTCAATCCCAGCTTCCCAGAGTGGCCTGCACCTGTGACTCCTTCCCCAGAAGGTCCCCACCTCAGATCCAGCTCTAACGAGGACCTGGCCCAGCTCGGGGCCTTGGGGGAGTCTCGCCAGCCTGCGGACAGGTTGGAAGGCATCCAGCTCCCAGCCTGGGCGAGGCCCTGGCCAAGCTGGGGATCCCGGGCTCCTGCAGTCGGGCCCCGTGGTTGAGGAGCACGCCACCCTTCACGCAGCAGCCAGGGGGCAGGTGGCCTGGAGGAGCTCCACTTGCACCTCCCTCCCCAGCGGCCCCTGACCATTTGCTTGTCCTCTGCCCCATGATTCAGCCAGTTTCTCTCCTGGAGAGACCTCCCCAGCCCCGTTCCCGGGAGGCGAGGAGAGACTTCCTAGAAGATGTGTTTATCTCTGAGCACTTATTTTCTTTGCAGGATTTGGGTACAGATTTTAGTGAAAAGGGGCACACTCTGTCCTCACCGTGGCTTCTTAAGAAGCATGCTGTACCTGTCCCTCCCATGCCACTGTCCCCACTTGGGACCGAGCTGCCCGGGGCCTTTGCGTTCCTTTCAGGCTTTCTTCCTTCTTCCCTCCCCACCCTGGTCTATCCTCTCTCGCTTCTCCTCCCCCCTCCCGGGCTTCTGAATTCCTTCTCCTTCCCTCAAGCCTTTTCTTTCCCTCCTTCCTCCCTGTATTTCTCTCCATCGAGTCCACTCTGCAGACCCATCTTAAGTGCCTGCTCAGCATCCATGCCCTGCTAGCTGGGCAAAGCCCTGCAAGTGCAAGCCGCGGCCGACTGGGCACCCCAACACCCCAGGACCAGGTGGACACTCACCTGCCCGGGAGAGAGACACAGATGCAAACGGGAGGAGGTGATGTCTGATGAGGGGAATAATCCCCAGGGAGAGGGAGCTGAGGGCCCCATGGCATGAGGGTGACAATCAAAGTCCTCCAGGGGAGTCTGGGACGGACTCGTGGCCTCTGGTGTAAGATGTGGGAGCCCAAAACAACGAACCTGGATCGAGGACTTTAAGAGTGGTGTGAGGAGGAGAGTGGAGCAGCCCCGAGGACGGGTTTACGAGGGGCCGTTAGCAATGGGGCGTCTCCTCAGGAAGGGGGAGGATGCAGCTCAGAGAGGAAGCGCGGAGAGCAGGGCCCTTCGGATCTCCCAGGGGCCTTCAAGATATGGCGTCGGGGCCTCACTGCCGAGCCTGAGCCCATTGCTCTGAGATGGCATCTGTATTTTGTAAAGGTCCTCAGAATGCTGGTGTGCCGTCATGGGTGGGACCCCTGGTGGGACCCCTCCCCAGCTCGAGAATCAGGGGATAACCCAAGCAGAGGAGGCAGAAAGGGGAGGCACCGGGAGGGAGGCTGCAGGGGCCACACATGAGAAAAAGAAAAAGAACGGCTGACCCTTGGTCCTTGGTGGCAGAGTGCCTCGCGGGCCAGGCCCAGAAGCCTCGGCTCCATTCCAGCTTCCCAGAGAGCCACCAGAAGAGTTCCAGGGGCACCTGGGAGGGCTCCATTAGAGGAAAGGGTGCTAGAGAGGGGGAGGGACAGGTGACGGCCAAGTGGAGATGGGACAGGTTTCCAGACCTGTGGAAGACAGGTGGGCTCACAAGGCCTGGGTCTCTGCCAAGGTAGTCACCAAGGTCACCTCTCAGCATCCACCTGCTGGGTGCCTGTCAAGAGCACGACCGTCATGTGGCAGCGTGACAGTTGGTTCCATGCGTCAATTCGACTGTCCCATGCATCCAGATATGTGGCCAAAAGTCATCCTAGATGTCTCTGTGAGGGTGATCATGGGCAAGGTTGACATTTAAACTGGTGGATTTGAATAAAGCAAATTAGTGTTCATAACACAAGTGGACTTCATCTAACACCTGAATGAACAAAACCTGACTCCCTCAGACAAATTCTGAGCCTGGTGCAGTGGCCACACCTGTCATCCCAGCAGCTGGGGAGGCTGAGGCAGGAGGATCATGAGTTCAAAGCCAACCTCAGCAACTTGGTGAGGCCCTAAGCAACTTATCGAGACCCTGTCTCTAAATAAAATATTATAAAAAGGGCTGAGGATGTGGCTCAGTGGTTAAGCACCCGTGGGCTCAATCCCCAGTACAAAAAAAAAACAAGTTAATTTTGCAGCAGCAGCCTTTGGACTGGAGCCACATCCCTGGCCTCTCCTGGGTCTCCAGCCCACCTGCAGATCTTGGATTTTTGGATTTGCTAACTAACCCCCATAATTATGTAAACCAACCCCCCCTCCTCCAACACAGTAACACAGCGGGGACACCTCAATTCCTTGGCCACAGTGCAGGGGTGTGGCTGTCATTCCATGTCACCATGATGCCAACTTCCTCCCCAATGCCTTACCTCACTTTCTACAAGACTTGGTGCCCTAGAACTGGGGGTCCATCTGGGTTCTCTCTGCATAAACTGAAATCTCATAAGTAAACTCAGAGCATCCCGAAGCCTTCAGCAAAGACAAAACAAAACCCAACTAGAGAGTAGCCTCCATGCTGGAGTAGGCCCGCCGGGCCTAGGACTCATGATTCAGCACACGGCGGCCATCAGAGGGGGCTTCTCCCAGCCATCCTCTGTGTCTCAGTGTGGGTTTCACCCTCAGCCTGGTACTAACGTGGCCACTGTGATCCCAGATGTCTCGGCCACACACCACAGCATCAAGGGATCGTGGGAGACTCCCTGTGGCTCACTCTTAGGAGAGAGGAAATGTTTCCCAAAAGGCCTGAGTACCGTCTTCTCATACCTCATAGGCCAGAATTGGGTCCCACAAACCAAACACCGGTGAGGAGGATTAAATCATCTTAAGTGGCTTGGGCTACTTGGATGGAAAGGCGGTGAAGGAAGGAAGGAAGACAACCCTGTTCATTGTCCTGCACCCTGGGACCACCTGTGCTGACGAATCCCCCGTATCACACATCTGTCTGATCACAATCCAGTTGAAGAGCTGTTTAGTCTAATGGCTACGCACATTGGCAGTGAGTCACCTGAATTGTATCTTACCATGGAATGTCCCGCGCAGGATTTCCAGAGCCATCAACTGTTCTACAAAACGTTACCACCAACATGTCCCTTGCTTCAGTGTGGCTTTCTCCGGCCTGTGAGAGAGATCACACTGTACAATGAGGATCCAGAAAGAGGGTGACAACAAAATGCTCAGCACAGTGCATACAGTATGTCCACCCAATTCCACTGTCCCTCATCAGTCAGGGGTGCTTCGGATGCAAGCCACAGAACCCCTAAGGACCGACGGCAACCTTACCTCCGGGAACGAGGGTCCCAGTGTGACTGACAGTTCTGCATTGTTTGGGATCCTTTTATCCTTTCTCTCTGCCATCCCCAGGGCACAGAACTCTATTTCTATTATAAGACGATGGTTGTAAGACGATGGCTTCAGCTACACCCTCCCCATCTCTGCACTAACAACCTCCAGGCAGGAAGTGAAGGACAAGAAAACATTTTGCACAAACCTCCCCCAGACTTCCTACTGGTTCAGATTTGGTCACATGCCAGCTCCTACACCAGCCGCTGGCTGAGATCAAATATGACGCATCCCGGGCTGAGTGCGTCACCACGTGGCTGAAGCCCTTCTGTTAGAGGGGGTGATGACATTTGATGGGCAACTAACAGTCTCTGTCACATGCCTACTTTACAGATGATAAAGAGAGGCTCAGAGAGGTTAAGGGAAATGCCCAAGGCCCTCACACTGCAAAAGGCAGAAGAGAATTCAAATCCGAGTCTAGATATTCCAGATCAGGGTCTTTCCACAGTGCCCTGATACCCTGAGAAGTTAGCCCTGAACTCACTTATTGTACATTTCTGAATTTTCCATTAGTCAGTTATCCACTTCCTGCTGGGCTCTACCTGGTCAGCCCAAGCATGGACAAGAGCCCACACTCAGTGACCAGCTGGCCCCGTCGGTTGCAGCCCCCCAGATAAGGGCTCCCAGTTCGCGGTTGGGGACGTGCTCAGACAGCTCTTCAGCTTTCACAGCCGCGCCATTAACACCCCGCTGTCACAGGGAATGGCTCCCCGTTGGTGCTGAGCCACTTTTATGACGTCCAGTGAGCACAAGAGAACGGCAGACAGAGCCATTTATGGACTTAATCTTAGGGCCTGCGGTGACATAAACGTTTAATGCCTTTTCCAGGTGGGGGGGGGGGGGAGACACGTGCATAAACCTGGGGCTGACAAAGGACTGGCGTGGGGAAGGTCAGAGTTGCAGGAAGGCAGGATGGACGAGTGCTGGGTAGGGATCAGGGCGCTTCCTTCTAGTTCCTTCTGTGATGCTGACCAGCGGCAGGAGCCGGAACAGGTGGCTCCTCTCTGGGCTGCTCCCACTCGCCTCCTTGGTTTTGCTCACAAACACCCTGGAGGAAAAGAACGAATCCCTCCATCTTTGTTTTCTCTTTAATGGCTAAAGTCTGGCACAAAATAGATCCTCAGAATGTGGATAAATGAATGAATGACCCTCTTCCTTGGAGGGGGAGTGACATCTGAATTTTCCATACCTGAGACACAGGAGGAGCTCATGTGGGAGTTTATGTAGGGTCTAAAGGCTTTTTATACAAGGAAATAGAGCATCTTCTGATTTTAGTATCTGTGAAGGGTCTTGGGACTCATGCCCTGAGGGCACTGAGGGAGGACCACAGTTAGAGTCTACTTACAGCTAACCTCTATGCATAGGTAGATGTGTAAGCGCCACATGGAAACAATCAGAGGATTATACAAGAAAACATTAAGTGATAATATTTGTATATTTTCTTTCTTCATGATTTCCTTGTGTTTTCTTATCATGCTTCCAAATCCCTTGTGTAATTGCTGAAAATATTAAGTTGAACCATATGAAACTGCCATTTGGGTAGATCAAAAAGACAAGGGGCGGGGGTGGGGGGCTGGGGTTGTGGCTCAGGGGTAGAGCACCTGCCTAGCACGTGTGAGGCCCTGGGTTCCATCCTCAGCACCACATAAAAACAAATCAATAAAATAAAGGTATTATGTCCATCTACCACTAAAATTTTTTTTTTAAATTAAGTCAAGCAGGGCTGGGGATACAGCTCAGTGGTAGAGCACTTGCCGAGAAAGTTCAAGGTCCTGTAATAATTAAATAATCTTAAAAACAGTCCAACATCTACTTCGTATGATTGATGAAGTACACCGTGCGATCACCTCCCATTTAGTCAGGATTGAAGGCTGGGTCAGAAGGCCCCGAGCAAGAACAAAGACCAAGAGACCAAGGCTGCCCCCCCAGTGGAAGCCTACCCCCACTGGCACCAGTTTGGAGAAATAAAAACAGGGAAGGTCCTTAAAGCCATAGAGCCGTGAGCCACCTGAGTCCTGTGTGAGAACACCAACATCTCAGTCACTGCTGAGCCACAGTGACACCTGGGGTCAGGGATGAGGTCAGCCCTGCAGTGTCTGGAGTCCCATGCCCCCTGATTTGGTGCCACACATCAATGGACCGATTTGGGAACGATGGCACCCAGTTACCACCCGAGCAGATGTCAACTCTGTGCCACTGTCAGCAGCTGAGAGGCCAAGTCAAGATTCACCAAAGGAAGGAGGGGAGGAGAGACGAAGGTCGCAGAGGCCACCTGTGTGTCCCAAGGAGGGGAGGAGAGACGAAGGTCGCAGAGGCCACCTGGGTCAGTGGCTGGAGCGTTCTCCTGGGTGCTGCGCTTTTCACATCACGGTTTCTGGAAGGGGCAGGGATGTCACCACATATCTATGACAGTCACTTGAGAGAACTGTGTGGTCAGTAGGAAAAGGAAATCCCTGAGCTAGACGTTCAAGAGACCCTTTCATCAAGTCCGTCAGCCATGCCTCAGTGGGCTGCGGCCACATCAGGAGGTTTGTCACAGAAAAGGCACCCCACTCCACAGTGGGAAGCCACAGGTGAGGGGAGATGGCAGAGGGCAGTCTCCAGGCCTTGGCGATTCAGGGGTGGCCACAGCTAGCCTCAGGCACTGCCCTCAAACCCAGGGTCCCAATGGTTGGTGAGAACTATCGCCACAGCGGAGGGAGGGAGCCCCCTTCTGCCATGGGGCAGGGGCAGTTTAGCTTGGACACGCTGGGGAGAGAACAAGGGAGAAGCACTTGTGCACGGCATCCTTCTCCACAGAGGGCTCCCCCAGGACCCCAGCGGATGCCTAGAATCACAAGACGCGTATCTATGGCAACGTCATTTATAAATCAGGCACCACAAGAGATGATTGGCCACAATAACTACTAACGAAATAGAGCAACCACGACAATGTCTTGCAATAAAAATCACTTAAAACTTAGGAACTATTTATTTCTGGGATTGTCCACGTAATTGTTTCAGATTCCAGCCGACCTCAGGTAAAGGACACCAAGGACAGCAGAACCACTGGTGGGGACGGTACATCAGCTCATTAGAAAGAAGGAGGAAAGGGCTACAGAAATTATAAGACTCAGAACTTGGGGGGGGGGGGGTTGTGGTAAATTCAACCAAAAATGAGAAGAAGTTAAAATCTCTGTCAAGGACAAATTAGTTAAGCAACACACACACACACACACACACACGATAAAGAGGCAGAGGATATCAAGCAATAATTCATGAAAAATCTGTATTTTTTTAAGTAAAGAGAGAGGGAATTTGGCCTCACTAGAAATCAATGAGGTGGGACTGGGGTGCAGCTCAGAGGAGGAGCCCTTGAAGGTCCCAGGTACCAGCCTCAGAGGCAGAGAGAGAAAGAGGGAGAGAGGGAGAAAGAAAAAAAAATACTAATAAATTAAATACTAATACATATTAAAACAAAACACCAATATGTCAATCCTCTATTGCCAAATTAACAACTTTAAGTTTTTCAAGTGTCCAAAGGCCCAGGCTGACGTCTCCATGGTTGTGTGGAAACCTGTGGATGTGCCTGCCTCCTGGAAATGAACAACTCATAACAGAATTTTCTAAGAGTCTCCAAGACAACCATTGACCCAGTAATTGCTTTATCTTAGCATCTATCTTAGGAAAACCATCCTTTTCTTATGGAAATAAAAGCTTAGTTGTTTAGAGTAGTTTGAAAATTGAAGCAAATTAAATATTCAATAATATTGGGAGGGTGAAGTAGATGACATATTCACTCAAAATACCATTACAGAGATTCCCGTGGTGTGAGCTACGTATTCACAGAGACAAACAAAAGCACGTCAAATGTTCCTCACACAATATTAAGTGAAGAAAAATCAGGAACAAGACTGCATAGATAAGAGAATCCCAATCTCATACAAGTAAAAGCTAAACAGAATAAAAACAAGACAAGAAGGATGTCCTCCCAAGCGTGAAGCCTGGTGGGGGGGCGGCTGAGCCTCAGTGGCTTGGGGTCTTCTTCACCGTCTTACCATGGGAACAGCATGGACGTCAACTCTATTTGTTGACAGATGATGAAGACGGAGACCCTGGATCTCCTATTCCACAACGTCACAGCATCAATGATCATGTGCTGCCCGGCACGCCCTCTGGACTCTGTTCCTGCGGTCTCCCCTCCCTGCAAGGTCCTGCCTCCCCAACAAGCGCAGAGGGCGTGGCCTTGACCCACCCGGGGAAGGAAGGCCACCAACCCAAGAGGCTGGACGGGCAAGACACTCTGTGACGCTAAATCCCATGATACACAGGCAGCCCCCTGGGAGACACAAAAGAAGACAGACACGTCCCTTTCTGACCCGGCCCCCCCCCAAAAAAAAAATCTAGAAATGTTAAAAAGTGGGTGAAACAGAAAAGAACTCCTCAAAAGCAGATTCTTTAAAAACTCAAAGGGGATTAAAATAGTTTCATCTCCAACAACAAGATGTTAACTTTGATAGAATTTCTGTGAATTTGGTGACTGGTGGCAGAAGCTGCACCCCAGGAGAAAGGGGACTCCCTCCTTCCCTGGCTGACCTGGTGCTGGAAATCACCCCAGGCTCTCCTCTGTGAAATGGGTGCACCCCTGCTTGGCTGGGAAGCCGCCCTCAGCAGGGCAGGCCAGCACTCACTATTCCCTCAGTCAGCACTCAGAGGGCTCAGGCAGGGCGTTGGGCTCTACTCCACCTCCTTGAGGGTTTGCCTGTGGATTAGCAGCTGCGTCCCGAGTGGTAATAG